ATGCACGTTGCCTGCAAAGCAACAGAAAGGACAGTTTTTCCCAGTGGTGTGATGCTTTCTTTTTTAATCTCCACTTTTTATGCGTGTGTATATCTCTGGATATCAAGTTTATTTTAAACCCAATCTCTCAAATGAACAGAAAAAAATGTATTTCTTAAAACGATGCATTATTTGTCTTGAAGACTGTTCCGCTGCAATACAAACAGTCTTTTCTGCAACTAGTGTAATTGCTGTTTGTACATATAGATTTTTCAATAAAGCAGTAATTACCGCGCCAAATCCCAACTGTCCTATTACATGCACACGGACTGTCACATTATGGGAAGATGATTAATAACACAAACAACCGCTCATTTTAAAATACATCCTTAATGTATTATTTTGTCTCGGGGGTGATACATCACCTCCTTTCCACAGGAGTCAAATCTAAAAAAGGGCCGGTTGATGTTATAACTCACCCTGGTTCACCTCCCACTGCACCCAAATCACAGTAATAGATTCAGAGTCAGGGACCTGTTACATTTCCCCAGCTCACCCCTACGTGTTCCTGTTTTCATGCACCACTTTTCCTCTCCATCCCTTATCTGCCCATCACTTTCTCCTCAGAGGAAGATTGTCTTCACACGACTCTTTCTTTGTCCGCTCCTTCTCCAAATTTTATCCAATTTGCAGTCAGTCCTTGCCTCTATATGCGACATCTCCCTGCGTTCTTTCTTCGACTTTCTTCCTTCCTTTCACTGCGTGGTGCAGGGGGTGCAGCTGGACATCAATCGGCCACAGATGAGCCCCACTCACCAGAAAGCTCAAGGCTGCTTATCAGGCCTTGGGTAAGATTTGGATGTTCACCAGTGGCACAGTGGAGTTTCAGTGAGAGCGCGATGAAAAGACAATATAAAAATAGTCTCGTTACCTCTCAGATGTCTCGATAAACAATAACTGAAGTGGTAATAGTTTGCGTTCACAGTAAAACACCTTTGATTAAAATCTTTAGAAAAATTAAGCAACGCCGCGGTGACCCTCCCAATCCTCTCGCTGCCGTCTCTCTTTATAACTTTATTTTGATCTTTTTGTAGTTTTATTTCCTCTTTGTGCAAAAATATCACAGCGAGATCAAACTAAATCGAAGGTGACAGTTCACACCTCTGTTCTTTTTCATCTCCGCAGTTCTACAGACAAACAACACCCGCGGTGAATATGTTTAAATTAATTTTCTGCACATGAACTTTCAGGTCTCGTCTCCGAAGGTAGGACGTATTGATCGAGCTCCACGGCAACACACTCGTTCGATGTTATCCCACACAACAAATAAAGACAAATTTTAAGTGTACACAGTTTAACCCTCCATCCATCTCCTCTTCCATCCATCCTGAGTTGTACATTCATCTTTTTTTTTTTTGCTGAACAGTCTCATCTAAGCACTTAACCTCTGATTTGCATAAGTCGTTATGGCTGTCAGGAGTGAGCCGGCTATAAATTCTACTAAGTATTCATCCATCCTTGTAAGTTTGAAAATGCCCAACCAATTTAAAAAAAAATGTGACTAATGAACACAGAAAGAGCATCCGTCACTGAAACATTGTTAATACATTTGATGAGCCAAGCAAACATTCATTCAGTTCACTACCTGACTGGTGTTTCTTAAACAGGTCACATTTCCTGTCAGTAATTATACACGTCAAAAGTTATTCTGACGTATTTTTCTCAGTTTTCTTCCTGGTCAGCCAAGATCTAAAATAGAAGTATTTCTTTTTAAATCCTCGGGGAGGAAAGCAATGCTTTCTTATTGAATTCTTCCTCCTCCTGCCAGCATCAATTACAGCAAATGTTTGTTCTGCCAAATCGGAAGCAGGGGTATCTCTCCTGCTCCATCAATAAACAGAGACCAGAACAACACCGGTACCTCACAGTGAAAACAGGAAACTCAATAGAAGCGCTGCAGCCTTTTTAGAAAAACATAGATTTTCCTCCAGCACTCCTGACAGATGCTGGAGTTAAAGTGTTTGCACACAGCTGGGACTCGGGAGAGCAGGCGGGTTGTGGCTCTCGGTGTGTGTGTTTTGTGCACGTGTGTGTGTGTGTGTGTGTGCTGTCATCGTTGCCACATCAAAGAGCTGACTTGACACTCCTGGGTCAGCGGCTGCAGCCGGAGAAACGGCAGAGACAGAGTGGAAGTGTCCTTCTTAATGATAAAACAACAGGTGAGGCGGAGCAGGAAGAACCTGGAGAGCCTGCTGACTGCACTAATGCAAGAAGACGCCTCCCTCAGAGTGAGTCAGGTTTCAAACTGAATCGACACTTCAGTCTGCTCACGGATCACAGTTCTCTTAATCTATAACGGGATGAGCAAGCGATGGATACATTATTTTACCAACCTTTCAGGAATAAACAGATTCTATATGAATCTGCAGAATCTGTAGTTTTTTGATTTCTATTTCTAGTTTGATAAATCACACCTCAGCCCCCCCAACCCCACAATAACCGCGCCAAAGACATGAGACCCCCACTTTCCAGAATATTTCATCTGTATGTGTAGACTGAGCTGCTGCAAATGATAATGATGCTAATGTGTCATTGTCGTCTCTGGAGTCACATGGAGACATGGAATCTGATTTTATTTTGAATTTAACTCGTATTTCTTAGCTTTTGGAACAAATACAGCTGGAATATGATATTAAGAATTGTATTTGACTTCTGGAAATAATCTTGCGACCCCTCTTCTGTTTCTCAACCCCTAGTTTGGGTACCACTGGTATAGAGAGCAAAAGCAGCAGAACACATTGACTGAAATGCAGCATCTCTCTGCTTTTTAATTATCTGCATTAATACAGAATCTTCTTACAGATAATCCAAAATACCGTCTGCACTTACAGAAAGTATCACTGTTTGTGTTTTGTCTGGAGAACTGCCTCAGCAACAGACCCAGATCTGCAGATCTGAGGGACAAAGCATTGTACCTCCTACTTGCCGTTTACTCCTTGTGTTGCTTGAACTTCAGTCGTATCCACAGACCTAAGCCAAAGGAATAGGACATATTGTCACTTCACAATTACGGAGAGAGTGGGAGGTTTCTGTCCTCATCATCACTGTGTGTACTTTCTTCACATAAGGAGCCAAATGTTACACAGGTCCTTCCAGGCTCATTCACACAAAGTGCGTCTCCACTTGGCTCACTCCAGCACTCCCGTAATAACAGTAATTATCCTCAGCACACATCTTTCTGCTTCATTTAAGTCGATCTTAACAAGGGGTATTTATCACAGAGGTGCTACTACTAGACGGTTGCGCTGACCTCCACTGCTCTGATTTATTCGCAACCGTCTCCTCAGCTCTGTCTTTCGCTCTCGCTGCGGGACAAAAATCACCGCCGTGCACCTTTTTAATTATGAGGACATAATTTAAAACTCCATCAGTCCTGTGCGGCTGCTGGACGGGGTGACGCCAGCAGCCAGCAGGCTCTCCGTCTTGCGGTTTGGGTCATTTTTTTTTAACGGGGGCGAGGGCATGTTAATAGGATAGCTAAATAATAGCTGTTCAGTTTAAATTAACTTCATGGTTCTGAAACTGTATTCACTAATAAGGATCACACTCATGTCAGTCTCAGTGGTGGAGGAAGTACATTACATAAGTAAAAGTAAAAATAGAAAAATAGACCAAATGTACTCAAGTAAAAGTACAAAGTAAAAAGTAAAAGTTCTTGCCTTGTGTATGTGTAGCCCATTATCTCGCCACAGCTAATGAGTTATGTGATCACACTGTACGGTCCAATGACATGATCTGACTTCTCATCCCATTTTGCTTGATCATATGGGCCATTGTGCACGTCGAAACAAAAAAAGTCAGCATACAGGTGGATTTAAAGACGTAGGGACTTTTGGTTTGGCTATTTTGCAGAAAGAAAGCAAACTAAAACAAAATTGATCACAAGCTACACTCTGATTCCTTTAAGGACCCTTTTTTCTGTCTCAGCTGTGGCCTCTTCTGAATCCACTTTAAAATCTTTCCTCACCAGTGATGCTGCTGAAGGAGACACGCCTTGCTCTGTTTGAAGGAGGCTGGGGTCTACAGTTCTCGTTATTGATTACATGTAACGCAATGCTGTGTACAAATTTGAGTAGAAGTGAAAGGTACCTGTAAATAAATCTACTTCAGTAAATTACAGATACACGAAAAATATACTTAAATACAGCAATGAAGTAATTGTACTTTGTTTGTAATTGTATCCCACCACTGGTTGCTCTGATTCATTTCCCTTTTTGGTGCAACATGTATTGTTGGTAATTCCAACAACAACCTAATCTTGCATTGAACAGAAGCTACATGTGAGATGAGACTGGTGGTGTTGTTAAGCACACGGTGCATCATTATTTTGATTTGGTCGTCCTCCGCTCCTTTGACTTGGTGAAGCAGCAGGATGCTGAGAGATGAGGGTGAGGAGGTGCAGCCAGCTGCGCTTGGACAAACACGAGGATGGTTCTACCTCTGACAACACTGTATTAAACCAATTATTCACTATCAGGGATTGTTTTCTGCGACAGCAAATGTTTTGTTTACTTGGCTCCAAAAAAAAATTGTAGCACATAGCATGTCATCGACGGTGCAGGCAGCAGAGAGTGTAAACATGTTTTTCTCTCCCCTCCCTACACAAGGATAAATAAAACGACTGCTGTTAGAAGATTTAATTCTGAGAAGCCTCTCTCTGGGGCCCTGCGCTGCACTGAGAAGCCCATCGCGAAAAGCCTTCAATTAGCAAAGTATGCTTTCATCTTCTGACCAAAGTCACCCTGAACAATCAAATTAGCTCCGAATTTAAAAAAGAAACAATCACCCCCCCAATCAATCAGGGTTCATTATCTCCCAAATAATTTCCTTTGCCTCTCGCCGAGAAACCTTCCAGCCTTCCTCACGCACACACTCACAAATACATGTGTGGTGAGGTCAAACACAACCTGTGTGAGCACAGGCAAAAGAAAAAAATGAAGACAACAACGGTTCACACTGAAATGACTTTTAATTCCTCATCACACAAGGAGCAGTTGTGTTTGTTTTAACCCCAGTCTGGGAGATTTGGGTCGGTTTTGCAGGACTAACGTCCGTCTGCACAAAGAGGGTTTGTTAGATAAACTGCTCCAGTCAGAGCAGCACATCATCATTCAGACTCACACCATGTGTACTCAGCACTTACATGGTGTTAGGACGAATTAACGACAAAGTCATCTCTGTAGACTCTATTTATGAAACTGACAGATTGTTTTTTGGGGATCTCATACTAATTATCATTATTTCCAAAACAGGATAAAAAGTAAATATTATCCACAGTGTTTAGGATGAAAATATGATGATCCAAAATAATACTGGAGGAAAACAATCAAGCCAATTTTCTGTAATCTAGGGGTTTTTCATTTATAATAAAAATTGACTTTGGAGGTAAACTGTATTGAAGTGATTTATTCTGGCAGTGAGCTGGTTTGGCAAATTCCAACAACAACAATATTTCATTCGAAAAATGAAATAATAATTTGTCCCTGAATGACCAAAAACAATTTCTTGTGTGTGTGTGTGTGTCTATTCATAGTTATAAAGGCCAATTTTGTGACATTTTGACATTGTGAGGACATTTTGGCTCATCCTCACAAAGTCAATGGACTGTTTGAGTGTTAAGACTTGGATTTAAGGTTAGAATTAGGTTTAGGGCTAAGGCAAAAGAGGTTTAGGCATTTAGTTGTGATGGTAGAGGTAAGGGTAAGGGGCTAGGGAATGCATTATGTCAATGAGTGTCCTCACAACTATAGAGAGACGTGTGTGTGTGTGTGTGTGTGTGTGTGTGTGTGTGTGTGTGTGTGTGTGTGTGTGTACAGTTTAAGAACTTGAGATTGTTGTGTTGTTTCCATCCAGGCTGGAGTGATATCATGCTCTCTGTCTCATCAAAATCACTCGATCGCAGCCGACGGTAGTAAACACCAGGATGAGCAGAGGAGGCTTTTCTCCACTGAAACACACATTTTCACACTGCAGGACCAATCTCCGACACTATTGCCCCGACCAAGGTCATTTCTGTTCAAACAGCAAAGCCTGAGATGATGTAGTGAACCGTTACCCCCGGGCTAGCATTGTACATTCCATCTTGGTAGCACTGGGTGGTGTAAACTACCTCCAGGCTTCAGCATCCGCAATTTAATAGTTCTAGAGGTTACAGCTGAGCATGCTGATTCTTTTCTTTTTTTGAGGGGGGGGGGGGAGCTCAGCCGATGCTGCAAAATGCCCTTATCTGGTCCTCCTCCGTCAGCCCCAGATGTCCTGTAAGTAGCGTTTCTCCTCTCTCAGCTGTGCCAGTCTCTTCATGGCCTCCAGTTGGTCCACCTGAAGCTCAGCTCGGATCATCTCCATCAGGGTGTCATTCACATCCTTAGCCATGTTCTTTGCATCCCTAGAGGAGGTAGAAATAGATTTAATATATCAGGAGGAAATGAGGGGAAATATAATTAATATACACGTCTTTTGAGACAGTGCTCTGTGTCTTAAGCTGTTTGTAAAACCAGCAAGTGCAGGAGTGCATCCTGGGAGGAAATTGCTGAAATCTCTATCTTGCTGTTGCAGCATATTGGGGGAAATTCATCATCCAGCAGTGATATTTTTTTTGACTCACTCAGTTTGGACGTTTCAAAAGTAATTTTACTCACAGGTGAGGCAGTGACGAGAGAGGGGAAACAAAGGATGTGATATTGAGATACATAAATGTTGACAACACTTGACTTGGTACACACCTCGCTGTGTTTGCACAGGCAGATAGATTGTGTTGTGTTGTGAAGAGGGGGTAGGAGGGTGTGTTTTTGCTATTAATGCTACAAGCTGTACAAAACGTTGCATCAGTGTGAGGGCAGCAGCAAAGTGATGTTGTGAGCAGGAAGTTGCGACTGATGATGCCTTGAAAAGTGTGTGAGGGTTACATGAGTACGATTCTCTTCCAGCTCAATAACTTGCCCTCTAGCAAAGCACCACAGCAGTTATTATTATAACTTATTGCTTTGAAACAGAGACACTCATTGCTTGACAGGTACTAAATCAGCTTGCTTGTGTCACTGCAGCTCATCACTTCCAGCTCAATGGCACAGAAGAATACGCTCAATCAGGTTTTGAACATACAAACAATAGTTGTAAATAGGATACATCCAGTGTTGTTTTCGTGGGAAAAGTTGATAGTGAAAAAAATACAGAAACTCATCACCCTCATCCTTTGAAAAAACAAAGCTGATTCCTTTCTTTTGTTTTTGTGTCTGTGAATTATGATGTGTAATTATTTTCAATGCAACTGTGTTAAAACAATTCAGACGTTTTGTAATTACTGTATTTCAAGAAATGCATTTTTAAATGCACTTATAGACTACCTGCCTTGAGCTAATGGGACATGGACCAAAATAAAAAGTATGTTTCAAATTAAAAGATGTTTTGTCATTTGAGTGTTCCAATCACACTGTTGAATGGTCAAGTGTTTATTTTTCTAGTACGTTTGGTTTTACGATCAGTAATTATGGGTGCCTTGCCAGCTGGGGACAGTCTATAGTGCACATGTATGTTCCCATCAAAACGTAAAGCCAGAGTTTTCTGAGACACAAGGTGATCCAACAGAAACTGAGCCACAACATGACAGGACCATCCCAGGTGGACATCAGTGCACCACTGCTGTAAACATTTGAACTGCTGTGTCAGTCTCACCCGCAGACGTAGAGGTAACCGTTCCGTTTGAGCAGGATTTCTGTGACGTCACGGCTGTTGAGCAGCAGGTTGTGTTGGACGTATCTGGGTCGAGCTACTGAGGTGGCGACCTCCTCCTGCTCCGCGACGTCTCTGGAGAAACACACCTTGAGGTGGTTTAGGACACCGCTGGACACGAAGCCCTCCAGCTCCTCCCTGGAGGAAGAGGAGACAGTATGCAAAGTGTCATCCGAACTCTGTTCAACACTTTTCCTGCAGTGTTGTCATGATTGGTTAAAGTGAATCTTTCCAAACCAGCGGAGGAAGGATCATGGACGTGTGAATGGGAAACCAACAAATACATGTAAATGTTTATTATAACAAAACAATTAAATGAGAATTGTCTCAATTCTTCACTGTTTATCCTTTCACCTCCAACACTTCCACAATATATTTAGCAGCAGCCTCAACAGGCATATTACCCAGAACATTTCCTACAGACAAAAGAAATCCTTATCAAGCTCGATAAAACACAACTCTGACAGGCAAGGGGTCTGAGCACAAGCTGTGTCAGACAACCAATTTGTCTTGCTTAACCAGAAAAGTGTAAAAATAAAAAATAAACATTTTTATTTCATAAGCAAGGTCAAGTCACTGTTATAAGCATCTTTTTTACAATCAATCCTTCCAGACTTGCAGTTCCGTGTAACCTTGCTCCCCGTCGCTGGTTCTGCTTGCCAACTACTCCTTCCTCTGCCTCAGAGTTTTTACAGGGCCTGGGGTGCTATTGCAAGAGGAGGAGGAGGAGGAGGAGGAGGAGGAGGAAGGGAGTCAAGTTTACTGTGGCTCAGAGCATCATGTTTAAAGTTAAGCAGTCAGAAAGAGTAAAAACACACATAGACTCAACACAAACACACACACACACACACACACACACATCCATAACAAGTCGCAGCTTCAAGTCCATGGGTGAAGGTCTTCGTCTCGGGGGTCTGTGTTTTGCAGTAAACTAGACTAAAATAAGGCACTTTTCAATAACACACAGACACTGCTGTGTGAATATTAAGTGAGAGAAAAGTATTGTTCTTTTTTCCCTGTGCCAAATGTGCAGAATTATTGCATCTTCAGCAACGCTCGCTCACCTTTGATGGAAGACAGAGCTATTAAAAGAATCTTTCAACCGAGACGCGTGATTGTAAAATCCGCTTGAACACCAGAGCGAACGTGAATAAACAGAGCAGAGGATATTGGAATCCTGCTGTTTGACGCCTTAAATCGTCATCGATTAATAACCACGGCAGCAGGAACCGACGGACGACAAAGGACAGTGACTTTGTAGAAAAAAAACACAATACTAGTCAAGAATTTCTGAGAGGCACAACCTGACACTCCTCAGACTGTCCACACACACACACCACACACACACACTCATAACAGCCTGTGGCAATATCCCGGACCCTGACGTGAACCCAGCAGGCGTCCCAGTCACATTTTCCCTGCAGCATGGAATCACACGCCATAAAGAGGCTGGGAAATCGGAGGGAGGGGAGAAGCATAAGTGCAGCGCAGGGGAAAAGGGGAGGACAAGTTTGATGTGACAAGCAGCCAGATTGGCGTCAACCTCTCACAGGGATGTTTGAGTGCTGCAGGTGATTGAGGCAGATCGCAAAAGCTTTGTTTGTTTCCACTGGTGGAAAACTCATAACAAGATCGCAACGTTGGGCACATCCTGCCCTGACACTTTGTAATATTTATAAGCATAAAAAGCCATTTATGCAAGTTCAAGTTTCGACTCCTACTTATGACTGGAGCCGAACTTTTCTGTAAAAAATCTGGGACACAGAAGTGCTACCAACTATGCTAAGCAGGTTCCTAAATTCCAAGGCAATGTGACATCAAGTTGCTCTTACTTACTGCTGGAGAAATCCAACAGAGATGAATGCAGGCAGGTATGTTGTTCTCATTCTGCTAACCTATTTAAATTAAGTACAACTCTTCACGGGTGGCTCATAAAAAAAACACTAATTGCTTTGGTCAACGCTGTGGGGGTGATCATCAGAGACGCACTGTGAATAAACACTACCTACTACCTGTGAGTTGATATTTAACTAAGGGATAGGGGACGCAAAGGGGAACAAACAACATCCTCTCTGATCTATTCTTGTGTGATTAAGGATGCTAATCCATTCGCGCTATTTAATCCTACAAAAAGAAGTCGATCGTTGGCCCTGCATTAAGTACATGCGCGCTACTGATACTAGGAAAAAAGCCGATCAATTGTGGAGTCGGGGGGGAGTGAAGCCAAAGCAGAGGAATGATCTACTCACAGGGTGATGTCACTACACAAAGCCTAAAAACAAGATCAATAGAAGAAAGTTAGTATAATATTCAGTAAAATTTAGCTGGATACAATTTCCATCCAATACTTTGAGCCAGGTATCATTAACAAATACTGATTTTGATGAAAATTATCTCACTGGCCAATATTGACTTTTTTCTTTCCACACGTCTCCTGGATATTCAGTCACTAAAGAACATAATTTCCTATGTGAAATACGCCTTTGTCTCCGTGCTGAGCAAAATAGAGTTATTGTATTGTATCACAACCCAGGAGAAAACCTGTGTTTACAATCTGAATATTTTGTAATTAAACAGGTTTAGTTTTCAACATTTGGCAACACATGTTGGAAGTTCCTTAAGGTTTAAGAACTACATTTAAAATGTCACTATGCAAATGCTTAATATATAAAACAACACTTCAACCTCCATTAACAGATTCTTTTGGCTCCTTGGAATGAGTTTATTTTGCAAATGTGTTTGCAAAAATGTATACCAGCAACACTAGCATTCACTTAGATTTGTGTTTATCATGTCTCTCTTACAATTCGCTCTTCGTTTGGCTCCGTTTGTGCCTCCACCAACTCCTGAGGAAAATATTGAGCGCTTTCGCTGCTAAATTCTTCACTATGTCCTAGTGTTGTCACCTCTTATTCTAAAGTGGAACATTCATTCAAACAGGGGGGGGAAGTTCATTTTAAACTGCAATGATCTATTCAATCCAAAATATAAAGTCAGTAAGCTTTCCACCCAAGTGAGGCAGCAGAGGAGGTATTATAGACGAGCAGAGCAATGTCAAGTGTTAAACCTTATTTAACTGCATGCACTCATGTATTCAGATACACTTGAACAAAATGTGTCATCACAAAAAAATGTCACGATGTTAACATTAAGGTGTTTGGTGCTGGGCAGGTCACGTCCAGACTGTCCCAGAGTACAGCCCGATGAGAGCTGATAGAGTCAATCAAAAGAATCAAGTTCTCAAACCTAAACAATCATCTGAAGACTTCTAAAATGATCCACAGACATGAGTTGAACTTTAGAGCTGTGTGATAATTCTCTGTGGGTTTTACAATTTCACCCATAAGGATGAACTAAATATTTACTTCTACTACTTTTAATTTTGCAATATCCACAAATGCCACATTAATATCACATAATAGCTAAAAGGTTGCCTGAAATGAAAAGAATAAATGAAAAGCGGAGGGAGATTAAAGATTTTCTGAGAGACTCATTACAATCATTTGCTCCTGAGCTGAGGAAACCAGGATATTTTATCAGCTTTGAAAAGTATTCATAACAGAAAAGCCTTCAAATACCCAGCTATAATAAACAGTCACATAACCTCTGTGCAATATCCTGCTTTCAATCAGTTACAAGCCACTGACAAGATGCTGGTATCCTTGTCCCTTTACACTTGTAGGAAGAAAAACATTTGGCTTTGTCCTTTTTCTGTCCAAACATCTTAGGACAAATCCTTGATCCAAGACCGCAGCATAGTGTTTACAAACCTCAAACATGTTATTGAAGACAAGACGCCAACATGATACATACAGATTGCAAAATGTATATTATGTAGGTCGTAGATTTCAATACGCTGTGTCAAGGTGAAAAGGGACGTGGGTGCTGAGAGCAGTACAACAGGCGAAGGAAAGTGTAGGATGTGTGAATGTGTATGAGCGTCTGACCACTGAACTGAAAAGAGAAACACACCTCACCTGAACAGGAAGTCTCCGTCTCTGTGGCGACAACCGAAGAACAGCCAGGTCTCGCCAAACGCAGCCTCGGGGTTCGCTTGCCTCTCCCTCTCTCTGAAAGTCAAACAATGGACGTTAGGGGTCAATCAATACTAACAGACGACCAGACCAGATGGGGGGAAGAGGAAGTCCTTTCTCGCAGCAGAGGTTAAAGACGAGTGACACCATTAAGCACTTTCTGCAATGACAGTACACCGAGTGCCACAATTGCCTGATGCATGGAAGCGACTGTGCGTGCCGCAGCGAGGACGATTATATGTATTATTAAATTTCACCCAAACAGGAGGACAGATCCCATCACTATAAACAGAAAACGAAACTAGGCCTTGTGCCTCGTGTGGGTCGCTTGTGCGTTTATGTGTGTTCAAAAACCTGTTCATGCAAAGGTGATTTCTCTTGTGGCTCAGGCGTCTGGCAACGCTCCCAGAATCCTTTGCAGGCAATAGGCAACGCAGTGGCACAAAGCTGCTCTGAGGACGGCGGTATCTGTGCTTCACACCTGCTGAAAAGGTGACAGCCCTCTCCCAGATAACAACAGTTGACCCCCCCAACCTTTCATGATGCCATCAGTCAGCTGACTCTCAGAAGTGCCCGGCATTATCTGTGAGGCCTGTCTGGAGGGGGTTGACCGACCACGACGAGGGGCTGAGGGACGCCACAGAGAGGCATTGAGACCAGGCCCTTTGTGCTGCACTGCTGCACTCTGAGGATAAGGTGCTGCTTCCCTCCTATGGATCTCATCCTTTGCTATTCATGAACTGACTGAATCATGCTGTGTGTTTCCAGCAGCAAAAACATTCAAATGGAGGCCAGCTGTGTGTAAGTGCTTAAAATTTGGTTCTGAAACGATCATTAATTCATCAATTATTTCACCAATGATTTTTAAACAAGTAACATTTTCAAAGCGTATATTAAATCCCTGCTTTGAATCATAACTCGTGTCCAATGTGGTTTTGCCACCAAAAGTACTATTATCTTTCTGAAAGCTAAACAAATCGAATCTGTTTCTTCTTAGTTTTCATTTCAAAAGCTTAGTGGGTTGTAGACTTCTCCTGCATTACTCAAAGTAATACAGTATATATACAGGTCGATAAGATAAAACTAAAACAATGGAAAACCTGTGTTGCTTGACCGACCTGAACCCAAATAAAATTTCCAAATTTTTGTCCAAACCCCAGCCTGACGGGTCCCAACGGCTCCTGACAGGTCTCAGGTCCGGTATCCACACTCTTGTTTATATTCTGGGTTCCAAACATAGAATAAACCTTAACTCAAGTTCAAGACAATTTAATTTGAGCACAGAGAAACTTTTCTTCAGCAGATGAAAGGTCAAACATCCAAATGAAGTAACAATAGGAAAAAGTATATTTTGAAGAAGAGAAAGACTCGACATCGTCAGTGGTTCTCAAACTCTGGGGTGGGCCCCTTCAGAGGACATTAATGCCTTCCAGCAGGGACAAGATTTTGAAGTGGTACTTAAGTTCCATATGGGAACAATAAAAAAGAAGTGTTAATACTTGTCAAGACTATTAAAATTCATATTCCCAAGTTTTTTTTAAAGCATGATGAAGTGAACAAGGACAAGGTGGCAAGACGTTTGACTTCCCAGTCAAAAGAAAAGTCAGAATTGTATGAAAAACAAGAATCCATTTGTCTTTTATGCTAATTTCCCCAATATTTCTAATTTAAAATTGAAATGTAATAGGTTAAAAAGGATGCTGAGAAACATCTTTTATCCCAAACATTTGCTGAGTTTTATAATGTCACTGTCACTTTTATGTCACTGAAAAATTAGATTTGTTTGCACTGAAAGAAATGTGAAGACGTCATGGATTTTTTTTTGTTTTCTGACATTTCAAAGACTAAAGAAGTATATTTATTGTGTTTCAAATTAATTAACAGATCAGTCAATTGTTTTGTTGCAGCTCCAGACTAATTAGCCTGAGTGGAAAAACAATCAATGCAAAAGTCTAACGGAGAATACCTAAACAAAGCTTTGCTCTCCATTAATTAAATGAGAAGTTGACAAGTTAATAAAAAAGAAGAAGTTTGTTTGAACTTTATATCTGTGAATGAGGCCTGGTAACAGAGCTGTCTGGCTGGGCTGATTCAAACACTCAGATCCCATCCATTAGCATCCTGGACGAGATTCTTCTGATCTGCAGACAGCCTCGAGTAAACTCATTTTAGTGTGCTCGTCTCTCTCCTCTTGCCGCCTGCCCTAAAGGAATCAATACCAATATGAAAAACCTGGATTCCATTCTGAGTAGACCACACCGGCGCCTTTCCCTGAATACAAATCACATCACATCACATACCCACACTATAACCGCCTGCAATACAATCCCAGGGGGAAGCCAGCATCTACAGAGCACTCCATTTGGGGTCGAAATCAGAGGCGGCTGCCTTTCAGTGCCATTCAGTTGATCAGCAGGAGGGGGAAACTGCAAGGGAAGCTGAGGTGAGGACTTGGTAAACATCACAATTATCTCATATGTTTCATCTGTTTTCTTTGCAGCTCCGTGCAAGTAGTGCCGAGTGGCTTTTTAGGCAAAAAAAAATAAAGTGAAGAACAAAAAAAAAAGGAAGCCTACAAACGACAGCTGAATCCAAAATGTTTTCATAATACAGGACGATGTTGAGCAGCAAGACGCTGCAGCGTAATTATAATCGTCTGTCTGGCTATAAATGGAGGCTCAATATTTATCCACACACACAAACTTTAACACATGTTGTCTTATTGAATGATCCAAGTATGCCTACTGGCATCCCTTAGTATTAATTTTTCCAAAATAAAAGCTTGTTAGAGCTGCTAAGGAGATTAAGGATAACATCTCAGTTAAAATACAATAATTGTTTAACTGTTAGTGCTCCGAGCGAAAAAACTGAAAGACTGAAAATTACATTCTCCATAAAATCCTTCCACGCAAACAACAGCAATCAATACTCCGACTACTGGGGGGCCTTATTAAAACCTCCCAGTACCACCAAGTGAGGCGTTGACCTTCTTCTTCTACTTGTTACCAGCACTACAAACTCAAACAAAGTACTCCTGAAAACAGCCATCGATTAACAGTGGGGGTGGAAAAGTGGAGAGGTAGGAAGATCAAAGTGTCCCTGTGTTGTTTTGTTGCTAATAGGACCTTTCTCGGGCCTCGAGGCAGATTTCGGCGTCCCGTTGACAAACCGGTGATTGTTATCTCCTCTCAGAGAGCAGCGTCAGCCACTGAGGCTTTGTTTGGAATCACAAGTCAGATTCTGTACAATGCCGCGCACCATGACAGGTTTTTACAGTCGCCCAGCACAATATGCAGCTGGCAGGGGAGAGGATGAGAGGCCCAGAGAGGGAGAAGAGACTGAGAAGCTGGCAAACCTTTTCACACAGGTTTTTACTCTTCACAGTGAAGAGCCAAAAAGAGAAATACATTTGAAATTTATTAAAAATCCAAAACATTTAACTCTGAAGAAGGCATTTCATATTGGGTTTGTAGTTTTTGTGTTATGAAACAAAGCCCGTGGAAAAATCAGTTGAGGTCTCAGTTGACGAGCAGTTTTTCAAGGACAGAGCATTAACATTTAAATGTATATTTGAACATGTTCGATTTTACCGAGAAATGTTTGGGCCCCGCTGGAAGGATCAAAGTAAGACTGATATGTTGATATCACTGCCTCACACCAGACCACTGTCCCTGTGGCTCAGCCTTGATCATTAAGAAGAGGAGTCTGTCTGCGAGCAGTGTGACCAGGTCAGTCCACAAAAAAGAAAACCGCCTGCTATCTTCAGTGCTCCTGCATCCCAAAGGCACAAACACCTCCCACCCCCAGAAGACCACTCACCTTCCTCAGACAATCCCACCAGCGCCATCACTCCAGCAGATGCCGTGTCACCTCTCAGAGCAATCACCCCCGGCCGACGCCGCCCGCCACAACAGAGGAGATGTCCGGGGGATTTAGAGACAATTGGAGTTGACTGGGGCACAACCTCATTTATACAAAGCCACCCAAGAGTCAGACATGTCAGTCTGACTAAAAATGTTCACTCCGCTTTCTGACAAGTCATTGCGGCTATCGGCCTGCTTAAACAAATGGCCATCAGCCTGGTTGGAGACGCTCGCACCACTTTCGTCCTCTGGCAGGTCATCTTCTCCAGATCTCTATTCACCCTTCAATTCTGAGCCTTCAAACAAAAACCTTTCCCGATTCCACACCCCAAGTATTCAGACTTAAACAAACTGGAGAAAACTTTGACGCACTCAGCTAACCGTCAGTATCCCAGCAGCAGCTCATCAGCAATTACAAGCAATGATTTACACCAACAATGCGGCCACCACCTACAGAACTTAATACTTTCAAATCAATGAAACTCCACATGTTGCCTTGACTCCTCACTGTTCATTACACATCAAGATGGAACGTGTGTATTGAAAGAAGGCTTCTTTTTTTTTTTTCCATGTTGAGACGAGAGAAGCATCTTAAATAATCCCTGACGTGATCACAGACCTTGCCACGAGATTAATTATGCTTTCAGAGATGTACATGACGTGGACTTCTACAGGCTTTGAGCAGGGTCTCGTTTAATTGCCTCTGCAGATTACTTGGAAATATCCATAGATGATGTGCACTTCACGCACATCACTTCAACACCATGAATATTCATCTCGGGGCGCAGAAGGTTTAGCTGGAATAATCCGTGACAGGCAGCACACCAATCAGCACATAACCCGCATGTTTCTGATGCCTGACATGGACATTTGACAGGCCTACTTCAGCAGCACCTCTCGTATAAATAACAGGAGCACAGGACCAAGGGCATTGCCACATGCACTTGATGGAGACATTTGCAAAATGCTATGCATGTTTCTTGATGAACTGACTTTGTCCTCTTTTTATGTTTATTTTGGCATCTAGACACTGATGCTACACTTTTTCTGCACAGCATTATGTCATAAAATTTTTACATCTTGAGAACACCATGCCGTAGCGATTATTTTCTTCATGATGTACAAAAAGCAAAACTGGCAAGACAGCGAGGTGAGAGAGCTTCTAAGTTTCCGGCACATTCCTGAAGTCGAACATGACTCACCAGGGGGAAAAAAACGAAAGGCAAACTCCTCTCCTGGCATCGGAAAGGAGTTATTCTCCTTTTCTTTTCTTTTTTTTAAACCTGTATAAAAGAGGTATTGTTATGGTGTGTTAACAAGATAATGTAGTGTTAAATTTGTGATACCTTTGCTGGAGGAAACCAATGAAGGGGGCGACTCCTGTGCCTGGTCCGACCATGATGAAGGGCAGCGACAGATCAGAGGGAGGCCGAAAGGAGCAGTTGGGTCTCAAGCTCACATGGATCTGGGGTCAGAGGCCATTAGAAAGCATTAAAAATAATGAGAGTAATTACAAAAATGCTGAGAAGCCACTGTGGGCCTACCAATCTATTAATTGATCTACTTAATATTCTAAGACATACTAATGAGAAAACTCATGAGCTCCAACTGGAATCCATAGAGGCTGTGGTGGAGGATTTACTTTCTCTAATTTAAATTAATTTTTTTAATCAACCACAATCAACTGGCCCAAAGTTTGTTTTTTATTCAGCGTCTCATGAATTAAAACTGACTTTCTAGAGGTGTTTTTAAAAACAGGTTGCATCCCTCATTCCAGAAACTGCAGTTTCCTTATACTTCACCTTTTATTTTATTCAGGAATGCCTTGAACTGTATTATTTAAAGGGGAATGGGCTCCCCTGTTCGTGTTCTTATTAGCAAAAATTAAAAAGTAGGGAAGGTGTGCAGAGGTACATGATTTTTTCTCCCTATGAGAAGGGGGGGTACAGCTGTTAGAGAACTTGTGAACTCTTGTACTTGCAAATTTGAACACTTAAAAATGTATAAGCCAAACAAGAGCTCGCAAATTTGCACAGTCTAGTTTCCAGCGTGCTCATTACCTTAGGCAGAGCAAGGCTGCCGGAGCACTCAACCCTCTCAGGGAAAACCAGGCCACGATTGATGAGGTCAAACAGCCAACCAGTACACAATCCTCGCCTCCCAGCAGGCCGTCCAAAGCATGCTGGGAAGTCGACAACGTTGAAGACAAAATGCAGCTTTCCTGGGTGCTTAAGACAGGAGCTGCAGAGATGAGACCACAGAGAGTTTGAGATGGAGGAAGTCAGGGAGCAGGGAAACAACAACAGTGGGTGAGAGAGTGTGTGCAAGACATACAAACAGACAGTGACAAGCGGGAAGATGCACAGAGACTAAGAAGTGTAAAATGGAGCGAATACAGAGAAGCAGAGGCAGAACAGATGGGTACAGAAAGACACGAGTATTACGAGCAAGGATAAATTCTCGAGACAAGACAACACTGCGACAAATGTTTCACACAAAGAGCCCGTCAATAAAAATCCACATTTCAGCAGCTGAACAAAGTAACAAAGAAACAAGGACATGTGATTCGATGGCATTTACAAATATAGACATGACCTCAATGTGTGTGAAATTTTAATCGACATCAGTGGTTCCTGAATGTTTTCTTTTGTCTGACGAACCCCCCACAGCCCAGTCAGATGAGCTCAAATACCCCTCCATCAGCACTACCCGTTGTGTTCTTTTGAATAGGTTTTTATAGAAAACAAAAGTATTTATTCATTCTTTTGCTCCATGGTGGTTTCAACAGATTACAACCATAGCTCCATTTTTATTCTAGCAAACAATTTCAGCTAATTTATCTATTTCAACCATTTGTCAGTTGTTTTAAGCTAACTACTTTAACTGCTCATATGACTTTATCTTAACCAGACTGTGTATAAAGATGGACGACATGACAGCCCGCCCAGAATTTAAGCCAAATCATCTCGATCGCCCCCCGGTGGCTGGCTGTAGTATAGGTCATACACCCTGCTGCCCCCATGTTAGTTAATGGGACATGGACCTCACAAAAAATCAAAGTACACATTAAATAAAGTTCTCATGCTTGTAGTGTTTATTTTGCATTAAGTTTTAGTTATCTTGTGTTATAAAACAGAGCAAAATGTAACGATTGATAGAGGCTGACTAGCGACAGGAGCACCCCCAGGGATAAACGTTCCCCTGGATGGGAATAAAATAAAGATAACATCTTCTTCAGCTTCATTCTAGACTGAAAAATACACTTCTGGGAGTGAGAAAAAAAAATTAACTTTCTGTCTGTCTTCAATAAAACCGCCTCTCCCTTCTCCCCATCCCAGTCCGTGCTATTGGCTGAAGCCTTCTCTTGCTCTCTCATCCTTCACTCTGCAGTTCCTGTGGGCCACTGGAGACCTCTATTGACCACAGCATCAATAATGCAGGCCTCTAATGTCTCTGCACCATCTGATAAACTACAGCCACCGTCTCTCCTGTCCGTTCCCTGTCTCTCCACGCACGCACGCACACACCCACGCACACGCCCGCACACACACACACACACACAC